ATTGCATTGCATCCTTATGACCTTATATTTTACACATTTTTATTTGAATTTTGCATACTAGCCAACTAAAATCACCCCTTCAGGTAGCAAGGGAGCTTTCATGTGTTATCGGTCTCTCGATACTAGTCTAGTGATGTTAAATGTCTTTTCGATAAAATGTTTGTAGATAAATATTTATCTGGGATTAACTTGTGGAACCGCGGAAGTTTAGGAAATGGCGTCTAATCAATATGCACAGTTAATATAAATCAATAATTTCTCACACACTGATCTGAAGTTTGTAGCATACTTTTAAATTTTCATTGAAATCTTTGAGCGCAACAAGTGTCATCGCTAGCAGTGCATGTGCGTTCCCGCCCACCGACTGTAGGCGCTTATCGACGTTCAAACTTTCGGCAAACAAAACTTATTCGAAAACATAAATCCAACACGCACTGAGAAACAAAGCATCTATCTAGGTTACGCTAATTGTGGGTTTTAATGTTTTTATTTGATTTACTAATCGTATTTGTTATTTATTTTGCAGAAACTCGCCACAATCCAGCCCCGCCACCCACTCGACAATCCGCTTGAAGAACTCAGAGTCCACTAGCTCGATGATGCGCACATTCTCCGGATACTTTTCCCGCTCCCGCAGATGATCGAGCACCATTTGGCCGCGGGTATGCGTGCCGCGCAGATCAACTGTGGCATGCCACGTGCTTTGCTTCCGCACCAGCCGGTCCTCGAAAAGCCAAACCGCCACCACAATGGCGTCGCAGGGATTCCACGTGTCGATCCCATACTGTTCGATCATGGGCAGCCACTGGGCGCTCTCCACGCGGTTCAGAAGAGTGATGGCCGAATGCTGGACGGACGCCGCCCTGGCAGCGAACTCCTCCAGGCGCCAATTCTACGGGGATACAAAAAAAACAAACATATTTATGAACCTTCTTTCCCGCAGGACACCTCTTCACCTGTACTTACAATGTGTATGTTGAAACGCTCTGGGAGACAGGGTTCCCAGGGCAGAATGGTGATGGGACAATGTGTCTTGAGCAGCACGGCGTGCGCGGCCTCCGGATCGGAGTGGAAGTTAAACTCTGCGGAACGAGAGGAGTTGCCCACGCCCTGGTAGTTGCCGCCCATGATGTAGAGGTCCCTCAGCTGCTGGCCGAACTCTTCACCGTACATAGTGTAGCCGAGAGCGAGGTTTGTCAGCGGGCCCACCGCGAACACGGTGATCTGTTTGGGTCGCTTGCGGCACAGCTCGTAAATGGCGGTCACCGCATGCTCCGGCTGCACGATGCTCTCCAGCGACTCCTCGCTGTCGCACACCGCCAGGCAGTCGCCGAAACCGTCGCGTCCATGGAAATACTTCTTGTCATCTTCGCTGCAGCTAATCAGGGGCTCCACGGCACCCAGATAGATGGGCACCTGGAATAACACAGGCACCAAAGGATTAAATTACCCACCTTCACATGGACACCTCCCGCCCGTACTCACATCTTGTCTGTCGCAGGCGTTGAGGATGCGTCGCATGTTGCGCGCCGCATGCTCACGGGTGGTGTTGCCACAACCGATGGTCGTCACGGCCAGGAGCTCCACCAGCTGGTTGCGCTCTGCGTGCAACAGCAGCAACAGGGCCCAGGCATCGTCGCTGCCGCCATCACAGTCGAGTATCGCGTACCTTCGACCAGTCGCCGGCTCTCCCTTGCCCTCTTCCTGCTTGTGTGCTGCTGCTGTACGTCCGTCTGCCATCGAAGGCGTGCTGTAAGTGCGCGCACAAATGGGGAAATGGGAAATGGAAACCGGGAATCGCTCTGTGGATTGGACACCGGCCCACGCGACGCCTGCAGCTAACCACCATCTAAGCTAATCTGCCCTCCATTGTATGCTCTTTGTGCGGGCGGGTGCTGACTTCATACCGTCCCCGTCCGTCTTCGCTTGTCATATTCGTCGTGTATCGGCGGCACTGAAACCAACCCACTATTCCATAGTGATATGGGCTGCTCGGAATTTCATAACGACGTACATGGTATGTGAATATGCCTTCCAATAACCATGTGCCACCGTGCATGTAGATATGCAGTAGTTGTCGCTCGTTCTATACTCCATATTTATTAAATCAGCTGAGATTGCACGAGCCAAAACAGACAGACAAAGAGCAGAGCGGGAGAGGATTGCGTGCACTTTAAACACACACAAACACCACACTCTTTGATACCCTGCAACGATCAGTAACGCAACAAAGGGATTTCCTTCTTCCAATCACTTACATGTGTACATATGTTTGCCTATGTGTAAACTCTGTACAATAAAGAAACACATGATTGAATTTGTTGAATTTATTTCCGTGGAACTTGTGTTAAGGCCAGTTAAAGCGGAACGCATCAGCAATACGAACTGCACAATTGAGTTGCGGCAGGTCGCCGCGTCGCGATAATGAAACTCGCCTGCGCTTTCGACATTTTCGAGCCATCCAAAGTAGAACCCCAGACGTGGTATAACATGAATACATACATATGAATGCATGTAAGAGTATATGTGATTCCGTTATTTAATTTCCAGTTAAATAAATATATACCCTGGCACACACGGGTATATTAAATGATCTAGCTTTAGCATCTAATTATATCTCAATATTCCTTATTCCCATCGCCAGGAATAAGAGAAGCGATTCAAGGGATTTGAACTATTTAATAGCTGCTATAAATCAGCCAAGAATTCACACGATCGCGTGATCGTTATGGCTGTAATGAGGCAGCCAAAGGTATCTTTAAGTCGTATGGACAATGAACGCTTATTGTCGCCCGAGGCAAACTTGCGTTTCCACATGCCGCCCTCATTCTCTCTATTGCACGTACAAACAACACCTTATACGTAAGTCTCATAAATTAAATTGCTTGTTGAACACAATTTAGATTATTTTTTTGTGACCCCCACCCATCACCCCACCAAACCAGAGGCCACGATAAGATACAAGTTTTAGATTTTGTTTGATCCTATCGAATGGGCGATAGGTCCGTCAGCTGTTTTTGGCGATAGCAAAACAGATGCAGAAAACAAAGAGGAAGCGAAAAGAGTGCAAAGAGAGGATGAACAAGAACCCCTTCAGACATCAGAATCATCACCATGGCGACGAACGCCTGCGTGTCCGACTGCGACAGCTTTGTGGTCTACGACTGCGACATCGGCACCGACGATGCCTGGGGCCTGGCAATGCTTCTGCGCGCAGAGAGCCTACGCATCGCTGGAAGGAAGAGCTTCAGGGTGGCAGCCGTCACCTGTGTCCAGGGCAACACCAGTGTGGACCATGGCACACTGAACGCCCTCCGCGTGCTCTCCACTTTGGATAGGCTGGATGTGAGTATTCCCAATCAGAATGATCAAATTCCTCTTCAACTTTGCCCTCTTTTGTGGTGCGAGTAGGTGCCCGTCTTTAAGGGTTGCGCCGACCCCATTGTGCCACGCACTTGGGCACTTAAGTCCCAGTTCCATGGCGTGGATGGCCTGGGCGATGTGGGCGACTATCCGGCCGTGAATGCCGACCAACTTCTGTCCGAGGAGCATGCAGTGAATGCCATGTATCGGCTGGCCTGCCAGCACCCGGGAAAAGTTGACTATCTGCTGTGCGGACCCCTCACGAACTTCGCCTGCTGCATTAATTTATATGGCGATGCTTTTCTGGATAAGCTGGGCGGCGTCTATATCATGGGCGGCAACATCCTGGGCAAGGGAAACGTCACAAAGAGCGCGGAATTCAACTTCATGATGGACCAGGAGGCGGCGCACATAGTTCTCGAGCGTCTAAAGCGCCCCGCTTTGATTCTTCCCTGGGAGCCCTGCATCGATGGCGAATTCGGGCTGACCCTCGACTGGCGGCTCAACGTGCTGGGCGCTGTCAAGCATCCGTTTGTTGAGCTCCTCACCCGCGTCGAGAGATCGATGCTGGTGCCGCGCGGCTTTGAGAAGTGGGTCAGCTGCGATGCTCTGCTCACAGCCGCCTATCTTTTCCCTCAGCAAATGATCGCCGATGAGCGGGAGTACTACGCCACCGTGGAGCTGTGTGGCGTCCATACCCGCGGTCAAATGGTGCTGGATCATCTGAGAGGCAGATGGGTGGATGCCATTCATGGCAAGGCGAAGAATGTTCGTGTGATCCGTCGCCTCAATGCCGAACCCTTTCGCACAATCATTTCGTATGCGGCTTTCCTGCCCCAAGCGGACGTTGAAATGCAACAATTGTGCAAGGAGGCGCAGCAGCAGCAGAGTTAGAAAGGGTCACAGACCGAATCGTGCCATTGTAAACTAAACAGAAATGACTTATAAATGCACCTCTTTGTTTTGTATATTTAATAAATTGAAGGACTCGCCTGTCTGTTCCAATAACTGATGACGAGCAGATCTGGCAGCCTGGACCTGCTGCAGATAAAAGACAATACGAGGCGGTGGGCAATATCAAACTACAAAAATGTCTGGTGTATATATTTCCTTGATAAATGTACAATCATTGAATAAATTGATGCGAGTGTTCCATAACAGTGTTCGAATTAGCGATGCCACGTGCACAAAGTCTCTAGGTGTATTTACTAATATAAGTATCAGTTTCTATATATTCATTTATATACCATAAGTATATGCATTTTACTACAAAACCAAATACATTTTGAATCTCACAAGAAGACAGTAAAAGGCAGCAGCAGCGGCTCTGTCTCTATTGCCAGCTAAGATATAATCGTATCATTTCTATTGCAAACAGACCCGCGTCTGTTGGGGCCTGATAAGCCAACAGGCGTCAGCTGAGAAACAAACAAAATGTTCACAATTTACGATTACTTTTCTACCTACTCATAATTGACTCAAAGCTGGTTTCGTTTCCTATGTGCAGACAGATTAAATACACTTCCTGCAGTGCGTTTCAGTGACTAAGGGCTTTGATGCTAAGGGGATGCTTTCTACACACTATTCTCATCTATGTAAGTGAGTTAGTTATTCAATAGCTCACAGTTTAGTTTATGTATCCAAATAGGGGCAGTAAATACTCGTAAAATCGAAACGATTTGGTTTAGGCTCAGCTCATAAGCTTCAGTTATTGCTTTCAATTAGTTTTAGTAGAGATTGGATTTTATTCATTTGCTTTAGTTTAGTTTAAACATTAACCTACATCAATTCCTACAATTTCTTAGCTCTTATGGCTGGCTCTGAAACGCACTGTACACAAACGAACAAAGCAAATATTGATCTCCCCAAAAAGGTGCCTAAATAAAAGCTACTATCAAAAATCACACATGAAACTGGGCATGCACAGGGTCACAGGGGGCTAAAGATGGTACAAAAGATAGTACAAATTTGGACATCATCCTATTATCTAGGCACTAGTCAACAAAAGAGGATATTGTGTTGTTTATCCAGCAAACTGGAAACTGAAACTGGCAGGAATTTCGACACAGGCAAAAAGGAAGTGAAACAAAAATTCAACAGTAATATAAAGGTACTTCTCGCAATCGTTCTTCGACTGTCTAGAGTGTCTAGCAAGGGGTTAGCTGGGGGAATATACGATTTGATATATATATATATATAATATGCAGTTTTGTATGTATAATTAGGAAAGGGTCAATGTTTTTTGTTTGAAGATAAGGCCAACTGGAAAAAGGATGCTCTACAAAGGCTTTTAAGTGTGTTTTTTGTTGTGTATCCATAAAGATGTGAACAAGATTTGAATGGCTATCAATCCTACATGTAATCCTTGTGAAAAAAAAAACAAACAAGAATTCCAACAGTGCGTTTTGTTCGATGCTTAGATCCTAGACAGGTATCCCAGTGCGGTCTTTGATTTTTCCTAGGACATTCACATGCACCTTGGAGTAGCCGCTGGGCTTTTTGGCCAGGCCGGGTGCAGCGGCGGCGGCAGCGGCAGCAGCTGCCAGGGGTACAGCAGCCGTTGATATGCCCACATCCAGGGAGGCCGAGCCCGAGGCCGAGGAGAGCGGCGACGAGTGCTTCGAGTCATCCAGATGCGAGGAACGCTGCGTAGATAGCAGCAGATCATCGCTGCTGGGTCGCATCGAGGAGGGTGTATAGATGGGCTGCAGCTTGTCCACCTCATCGTCAATGGCCTTGAACTGCCAGCTCCAGTTGGGCCTGTACAGGAACGGTCGATGATCGAAGCGATTGTCATCGGGACTGTAGCTTTCGGCATGCACCGATGGCGTTAGCACGGTCATCTTGTGCCGATTGATGGCATAGCAGCGAAAGAAGTGCTTCACCTTGTCGGCCACCTCCTTGGGACTGAGGTCCCCCTTCCAAGTGGCCACCAGGCGGCAGAACATGCTGTATGGGCCACAGAAGGACTGCTTGCGCAGGCGCCCATACTCGCTCAGCTCATCGTAGGTCATGCCCATGTCCTGCTCATCGGTCTGCTGCAGTTCCCCGTTATCCTGCAGCGGCTCCAGCTCGGCGGTGGGCGGTGCCTCAATAATAGACTCCAGCACAGGCAGATTGTACCTATTCGAAACGAGAACCGGCGTCAAGGAAGGAGAATCGAATGCGCAAATTCTTATATTACTTCTCTTTGGCGTAGACCAGAAAGCGTCGCAGATCCGTCTTGGATATACCCCCAATGGGATTAATGTCCGCCGACGAGCAGTCATATTTGGTCAGATATCCACGCAGCGATTCATCCACATTCGCCGAGCCCAGGACAAGCAGGCCACCCGGTCGATTCCTCACCCACAGCATAAGCTGCGCGAAAATGTACGCCAGGACCATGCGCAGGCGTGACTGAATGTTCTGCAGCGCCAAGTTCTGACGCGCACAGCCGCCCTGTGTGCGAAAGCGTGGCGTCAGACCGGTGACGGCATTGAAGATGCCCAGCAGGGCATTCACCGCCAGATCGATGCTGATCTCGATGTGATAGCTGCCCAGCTGGTTGGCCAGTTGTGCGGCCCGTCGTCGCGTCTCCTTGCTGCTGTTGACGCTGCCCATGTAGCAGGTGACCAGCAGGCGGTTGCAAAGCGTCGCGGCATTGTCGGGCGTGTAGTCCGTGTCGGCCAGGATCTTCCGGATGTCGTGCAACACCTGAGCATCGCCCAGCTGTACGGCCTGCACAATCTGGCGGCACATGGAGTGCACAATGGTGGCCGAGCTGCTCGAATCGATGCCACCGCTGAGCGGCAGAAAGAAGCCGCCCTGGCCGGAGCGACGCAGATAGTCCCAGAGCCAGCAGGCCGGCCCCAAGGCGATCTCCTCCTCGGGCGTGTGGCTGGGCCAGTGCAGCGGCGGCGTTGATGTTTTGAAGATGTCGCTGTGGGTGGACATCTCAAAGTCACAGTGGATCCGCGGATAGTTGGCCGCATTGGCGGCCGCGGTGCAACGCGAACGCAGGCTCACACGATAAGCGCGTATCTCCTCCAGATCAATTGTGGCCAGGGTCACCTCGACGTCCTGCAGGGCAAACTGCTGGCCCCTGGCGAGCAGCTCGCCATTCAGCGCAATCGCCGAACAGCCATTGAAGTACACCCTCTGGCCGTCGCAGCCGCGCAGATTGCTAAACAGATATGCACCACCCGCCTTGAAGCTGGCATTCCGTATCAGGTCCGAGGTGATGTGGGCCTTGCGCAGCTCCATGTAGCTGGCGGACCCATTGACGATTACCTCCACGCCGGCCAGCGACATTTCGATGTGTTTGCTGCGCACATTCCACAGCTCCTCGCATATCTCATAGCCCAGGCAGGTGTCGCGTGTGGCGATCACCGCGTCGCCAAATGGCACCGTCTGCTGCCCCGTATGCTGCGATATCATGCGCGGCAGCAGGAACTCCTCCGTTTGCATGGACTTGGTCCAGGCAGTGAACCAGCGTGACTCCCGATAATTGCCATCGTCGCACATGGCCATTTTCGGTCGAATCAGCAGCAACTGGCGATTAAAGAACGCCACGCGACAGTTGTAGGCCACATTCCGATGCATTACCGGCATACCAACATCCACCAGCATGTTCTCGCTGCAATTATGCAATTATTATTGATTACAATTCATTCTTTTGCGTAACAGTTTACCTACCAAATGGGCGACATCATGATCTCCAGCAGCACCTCCCATGAGTGCAGATATGTGTCCGGCTCTCGAAAGTGATCCTCGCAGCTGTAACCGCTGTTTTGGGGGAGAGGAAAAGAAACGGTTTGTTAGTTTCGTTGCCGTTGTGTTCCCATGTTCCCCGTTCCCCGTTCCTCATACCAGAAAGTGGTATTTTCTAGTATGTTATGTTAAGTTATACGCACACATAAATACTCTTTCTTTGTAGCTTACAGAATGTGGAGGTAATTCAAGTGAAATGAAAGGCATAAGGGTACTTACCTAACCTCCAACTCGGGTCCAGTGCGATAGCTGGCGCCCATATCTTTGGCCTCTAATATGGATTGCAATATCCTTGCCAAATTTCCCTCAAAGTCCAAGGCCCATTGATTCAGTGTGGATACAGCCACAGTTATTTTGCGTCCCATTTTGTATTTATTTTATTTGTATCTCCTGATTGTTGCGAAGTTTTCTTTTTGTTATGCTCCTCTTTGCGTTTGTTTAGGTTCTTCTTTTTTTTTATTGTCAGTTCAAAAAAATTGGCAGTTATCAACTGGAAAATGGAAACAAAAACGATTGGGAGGTTGAGGGTCTTTAGGCTTAATGAACAATGCAGTTGCAGTTGCAATTGCAATTAATTTGATTGCCGCGGCGATGCAGCAAACGCGACTTCCTCGAGTCTCTCAGCTCTTGGCTCTGCGTGGTGTTTGGTTCCCATTTGGGTGCCCATTGTTGGTGTTTGTTTTGTTGTGGGTATATCTGGGTCTGTATTGATCAAACAAACGAAGCAAAGAAAGGGCCAGGGGCAAGGCAGGGCAGTGGTAGAGGTAGAGCAGCAGCACCCGCCGACGTAGCCAGGCAATGGATATACTCGTGGAGGTACGGGAAACTCTCTCGGAGATAAGGGAAATCTACTGGGCTTACCTACATATGTGTGTGATCAGCAAGTTGGGGGAGAATGCTGGCCTTTTATTTTAATCTCAAGAGGTAAACGAATGGTTGAAGCTGTGCTTCATCATTCATCATTCATGGCAGCAGTCATGGGCGCACTTTCGGCATTTTGAGTGAGCAACAAAAATTGAAAGCATCCCCAAACACCCCCCCACACAACCACTCCCGACAGTATGCAAATTTACCTTTTGCGAGGTTACCAAAAAGTTTAAAACACGCAACGCACACGCCTCGTACGCCCCAGCTCCTGCACCTTCTCATGCGGCATTCATGCATGCCTGAGGTGGGAAAAACTGTGCATTAAGTTCAAAGTTCATTCGCCAAGAAGCCCAACCACCCACCCACTCCGGGCGCATATTTCATTTCTCCTGGTTTGTGTTGATAGCCACCTGACAGGAGGAACGGAACACACGCTGAAAAGCACCAAAAACACCAAACCTCAAAGCCCAACTGCCTCAAACCATCAAACCAAGTGGCATGCCAGTACGTACGTACGAGCTCGTGCTCCTCACAAAGTTGCGTTTAGAATTCTCTTCGACAATGGCTCAGAGCGCGTGTGGTGTGCGTGTGTGTGTGTGCGTGTGGCCTGTCAGGTGGTCTTTTTGGGGGCAGGGCAGCCTGCGTGTGGCAAGACAAATGCATTGAACTTTGAACCGCGCCAAAGTGCACAAAATCAGAAGCAAAGCAGAACAAAGCAGGAGCCGGTAAAAAAAGCAACAAGAAAAAAATGCAGCAAAGGCCGAGCCTCAAAGCGAAAAGAGAACGAAACCTTTTGCCAATTGGCAGCCAATTTTAATGGCACATAATCAGTGGACGGAGAAGTGGAACGGGTGGAAAAGGCCCCAGTACATACTCTGCATAACGGGTGAACACTGGAACGGTGCGTACAGGCTGGAACACACACAGAGAGCGGGAGAGAGTCGTGGGAGAGAAAGAGAGTGTCGAGACGAGATCTGTTCCAATAAGAGATCCAGCCAATCGATAAATATGATTTTATGCTACATGGAGCACCCTGTTTTTGCTCCTTCGCATGTGCATTATTGGAAGCGCTGGCACTGGCACTGGCACGCCAAGTCCAACTTTGGCAGCCATATAGATTACGGGTAATGGGGACTGGTACTGAGACTGGGAATCGGGAAGTGGAAATGAAAATAGCAATGGGGCTGGGGCTGGGACAGCAGGCATCCTGGGCCAGTCGGCTAGGCTGCTGCTGCTACTGGTGCTGCTACTGCTGATAGCTGCCACTAATGCAACTAATTCGCTTTGATTTGTTTGCCAGCACCAGCACCACCAAGAGCCCATACTCCTATCACATTGTCACGAAGTGTTTGGGGCCGCTTTTTCCGGCTGCCAAACGGCATCCGGTAGCCAGTAATCCGGTATCCGGCATTGGTGGCCGTTCATTCACTCGCCACCGGAGGACGACGCGTAAAATCCCTCAAAACAGGGGGGAGAGAGAGATTCGAGAAGAGAAAGTGTGCCGAGTGAAAATAGAAATCATTCATATCTGTGCTCCATTACATTCGGACTAGTAGCAGGCCAAAACATTGTATTCCAATTCAATTCCTATATTTATTTCCTATTCATAGTAAAACGTTTTTTTCTTAAGTTTCGCTCGCTCTTGCACCTACACACACGGACAAAATATTAAGTTCACACAAAATAATACAAGTGATAAGCAAGCAGTGGAGCATCAGATGTCCACAGCTCAACGATGCAGAAGGATAAAGAAAGGGAGAACAGCGATCAGCAACAGCAAAAGCAGGCGACAAACGCTGGTGAGTGCCGCAGGCTAAAGCTTTCCCCTTAAATAAACCTAAAATGCAAAACATCAAGGGCTTTAGTGGCTCCTAATTGGTACCTAATTGGTAACTAGCAACCAAAACAAAACAAAAATCCCAAGAAATCTATTTATCGCCTTGCTGGGTAGGGTGAAGTGAAGGGAGTTTGCTGTTTCTATTGCCATTTCTTCTGTTTTTGGCCGTGCAATTTCCGCTTCCGTACGTAGCCTCCTGGCATTTGACGTACCTGACGCCTGTCTGACGTCCGTGTCCGTTCCACCCCGTAAATAGTTTTAGAAAAATTGTTTCTTTTTTGGGTTCTTGCGTCTATTTTTGGGTTCGTAGCTCCAAATGCATATCAATAACAGAGCGGAACACGAGCACCTAGCACTTCGCGCTCTCTCTCTCTCTCTCTCTCTCTCTCTCTCTCTGGTTTGGCTCCTGTCACTGTCTTGACTTGGGACTGCCTGTCCCTATAGTGTGGGAGGATCTGGGGGTACTGCGGGCGGCCGCAGCCAAAAATAATACACGAAACCATTTGAGCAAACATCACAAAAAGGAGACGCAACCAATTGGTAAAGCAAAATGACAACACCGAGTCATGCAAGCAAGCTCCAGCCCCAGCCCCAGCCCCAACAAATGGAAACAAAGAGAGTGACTGATGGTGGGGGGAGGTGTAGGGTGTTGCAGCAAAGTGTTGAGCCTAGGTTTGAGTAAGAGCAGGGCGCTCCAATGACGCATTGCAGACAGACGAACGATACGGCCGCTCAGGTAACTGCTTGCTGATGGAAAATATATTATACACGTCAGGCCAATGGATTATTTAACCCCAATGTTTATTAATTAGTTCCTATAATAGTTCCTTTATCTATATTCCACACTGTCCTATGCCCTGCGCTGCTTTCCATACTCTTTATTGCGCGGCATTGAGCCCCCAATTCTAAGGACCTCTCTAAGGACGTCCCGCCGTTGCCAGGCCGCTGTCAAATGCCAATAAGCCGACATCGTCTCCATCTCCGACAACAACAATAACAGCAGGAAAAAATACTGAAAAATTGGTGCCAAGCGGCTCATGCAAAACACACAACGCGAGGAGAGGCCGCAACAAAAAGAAAGAGAGGCAGAGCCAGAGACAGAGAGTGGGAGCTCACGCGCTCAAAACAGTAGGCAACATAAAGAAGGAGAAAGAGAGAAGGAAAGAGTGGGCTGTGCACTTTTACAGGGGGGCTTTAGCTCTCTTGTTTGCCACTTCGACCTCTGAGAGAGCGGGCAAGATCGGAAATCCATGGCTGCAAAGCATTTGTCCCTGCTCAAACGGGATTTCCTATGTGTGTAGGTATTTATATATATTTTAAAACTGCATAAACCATGTTTGGGTCAGGAAGTTGGGTTTGGGTGGATTGGTGGTCGTAGCAATGGAAGGTGAGACTGGAGTTAAGCGGAGTGTTCTTTGTTGCGCTGTTTACAGCCCATGTCGTGCGCAATTTATGTTAATCACAGCCAGAGTTGCCACAAGTCCTATTCGTCCACCTCCGCCAGAAGGCAAAAACAGAGAGAGAGAGGGAGAAAGCGGTGTTAGTGGTGCCTCTTCCTCGCTCTCCCTCTGTCTCTTTCATGACCACTCCAATCCCCCAAAGCCACCCACATGCCCGCTTGTGCCGTGTGTAGGCCTACAACAAAATAGCGAAAAACAATTTTTTTCGGTGCCTTGCACAAAGGCAACGACGTGGCAGCAACAATTTTAATGCCGTTGTTGCCGATGCCGTGGTTTACTGTGATTCGCAATTTTGCCACAGCCCCAGGCACAGGCCGGAGTCAGAGTCAGAGTCAGAGCTAGAGGAGCCACCATTGTCGTCCAAGCTCGACGGAGAGTCAGTCCGCAGTTGCTTTGAGAGCGAGCCTGAGGCTGGCAGCCAAGTGGTCCCGTTACTTACGGAGACTGCAGCAGACAGCAAAGGCAGAGGCGAAGAAGAAAGGAAAGTCCATCCATTATATTCTGCTGGACAAGTGCGGGAGCGCGCGTCTTTGTCCCGTTACTCGTGCAATCTATTCTTTTGTATTATTTTGTGTGTGCGCCGCTCGTGTTGTTTCGTGCCTCAAGTGCCCACTGAGTCAGCGTTCTTTGCACCATATGGCGGATGAGACAATAACAGTTGCAACAGCAGCAGCCGAGGCATCATCCTTCAGCTGCCTGCTGCGTACATTGAGCGCTGCTTCGATAAGTCGCCGTCATCGGCATCTAATCAAGCCGACATATCAGCCCTTAATTCAGCCTAGGATTCAGCCGCAGCAGGCAGCGACAGAGACTTCCAGCGAGCGCTGCTACAGCAGCAGCAGCTGCAGCGATGAGGAGGAGGATGAGGATGACAACAACGACAACAGTGGCACACACACTCACACAGGCGAGAGGTTGGCAGAACAGCAACATCAGCCCGTCGTTGTCGTCGACGAGGACAGCGTCAATGTAAATTTGGTGAGAGCAAACTTCAAATGCAATGACATGGAATGCTCTCTCGTCCTGGGCGACTATGTGAATGGTGAGTGTCTCCGTCGTCCCTCGCGACATCACATACGCAATCTAAGTGCTGCTCTCAATGAGATGATGTATGGACGTGCGCTTGCACGTTTGCAGTTTAGATCAAAGACTCATTATAGGCACCTCGGGGGAATACAATTCAGTATGGTTCCCAAAGCCCATAATTCGTTTTTCACTTTCAATTCATGTTCGTCGTTAGTCTCTGTCGCAATTATTATTCTGTTTATTTTGGCTGTAAAAAAACCTCACCCACGCGTGTTGAACACTGCCAAAATGTGGCAAGCGAACATTTTTAATTGCAATTTGTGAATTTTTAACCCAAGCGATAGCAACAACAAACAGTTAGAGGAAAGAGAAATAGAAAAGCAATGTGCGGGGCCAAATCTTTGGATACCCTTGAAAATGTATCCTTTATATGGGTACATATACATAAGAGAAGTACGATTTTTCCCACGCATTTCTACTGTGCTATTTTTCTCTGAGTGTAGACATACATATGTAAATGACTTAACCGAAAATAGATAAATGTCTGAATGTATTTTTATGGTGACCGATATGCTGTGTTACCAACATGTGTACGAAATAGGTATACCCTATTTGAAAGGGTATTCATACATAATAAGAGCACAACACGAATATGAGAAAGTGCGAAGCGAAAGAAAGAGAGCGCGCTAATTCGATGATTGACGAGGGCCAAGCATGTGTGATGGGAGGGATGAGATGCGGTGCATGGGATACAGTTCGGTGAGAGTCTTTTCACCTTGGCAGTCATGGCGGAGCTTGCCAAAATAGAAAACACATAAATTGCACGATCAAGATCATTGCTGCCGCTGCTGCTGCCGCTGCCCCTGCCACTACTGCTGCTTCTGTGCATCTATTTGCGATGACATAATCCAATAAGCAGAGCATTAATCAAGTGATAGAGGGAGGGGAGAAGACACATGTGGATTAGCACTGACTGACTGCGCCCTCTCATTGCGTGGCTCGTGGCTATCCTCGCTCTCTCCTTCTCTCCCACTCTTTGACACCTGTTCGTTTTGTCTCCGCGCAGGCAGCTGACAGCACAGCTGCCGCTGTGGGAGGAACGGGACCTCAGAAATCTACGACTTTGACAAATTGGTTTGGCAGCGGGTTTTTTTTAAATTTTTCTTTGCTTCAGCATTATCTGATCGTGAGGGATCGTAATGGCCGTAGCCTCAGGCTACGTTTTTGAAATATTTAGAGGCAGGGCATGGGCATGATGTCTTAGCTTCCCGATAGATCGATCATGCGGCTTTAACTAGAAAATCACTAGCTAGAGAACAACAACCTTCCGTCTGAATTGTCGTGTTGTGGCCTACATCCCCCCACTACCCAACGTAAACGATAATCTAATGATAAAAGTGCTGCTCCATCCAACGGTATACATTCCTTCGATCCACTTCCAGGAATCATTTGTTGCTTGTTAGAATGTATACAAATTCCGTGTTGCTTTTTTTGTGTTTCTTGCTTGCCGTATCCAAGGCTGGGTTGCCTTTGCCTTTGGCTTTGTTTGAGCACCAGCCGGAATCGAATCGAATCAAATTCATGTTCATGGCATGTCTGTGTGCATGCATGGGCATGTCTGGGCCTCAGTTGGGGCCGTCTCGTCTCTCTATGCCACATAGAATGCCAGGACTACCTTGCACTTCCTCTATTCTTTTTGTGTTTTTTTTGTGTTGTTGTTGTGGTTGTTTTTTTGGCGTTAGAGACAACCAACAGCGACAGCAGAGAACAACGACTATAGGACTGGAGAGGCTTGGGTTTGTTTATTTGTTTATAACAGTCGCACAGTGGAAATTCGAGTTGGCACACAGCAGGCGGGCCCCAGCTATCGAATGGGGAAAACCACTCAGTATCGCCGCGACGCGACGCAATGCGAGTCGGAGTCGGTTCGAATAGGAGTCGCCTTCGAGCAAACCAAACAAACTCAAAGAGAAAGCCACAAAAAAATAACAATAATCAGCGTCAAAATGCCGCCTAACGAGGGCCTAAGAGGCGACGACACAAATTATATCCAGAGACTTGCATAAGACAGAGCAGAACGAGCAGAGAGCCCATCTATCCACATACGAATACTGCTGCAAGAAGTACCAACAGATTTTGCATTTTCATGTTTGCCTAAGCCAAATTAAACTGCAATCGAACTGCTCTGTTAAATCAACCCGAGAATTGTGCGGTCCGCGTACTACATCAAATGGATTATCCAGCCCTGCATCATACTTCTTTAGTAATCCTCTCAAGTCCCATTGCCATCATGTCGTAGGCTAAGCGGATCCTAAATCATGGACTTTGTCGGCGGCGGTGGGCGCGTGCAATTTCTCCAGGCTCAACTCTTTCCCGTCTGCACGTTGACCGCATCCAGTGGAGGTACAAGTTAGTGTTTTCTTGTTAAATAATAGTTATACAAGTATGTGATATAAGAATGACTAAGATAACCAAAAGAGAAAGAGAGCATTCGCTCTGAACGATTCAGAAAGAAAAGTCGGAAATTCCAAGAGAACTTTAATCAAGTAATTTAATTCGCAGCTGATTGCTTTTAGTGAGTTAAGGTTCCAGCTTTCAGACTGACTCTCACAGCTGCTGCATATAACACAGGAATCAATAAAAGTGGATAATTTGGGGGAAGTTCATATATACAATTGGGGACCAAAATAATTGTCAACAATTCAACAATTGACTGACGTTTTGTGTAGTTAAAATATGATCCTCAGGAAATGCTTACTTTCAATTGGTTATAAATTGCGTTGTTGCTTGTTGCTGGGTTTGTTGTACGAATTCGATTGTCTAAGGGCACCTCGGTGTTATTTGTTTTTTGTTCTTTTCTGTTTTGTTTCTCTTCTGTTGGTCCTTTGCTACATGGCCATAGTTTTGGGGCGGAGAATGGAGTGGCACTGTTCAATGGTCGTCGCTCCTGTTGCCTTCTCCAAAAGTTTTCGTTGTGAATCGTTGTTTTGTTTTGTTTTTGGAGTCTGTTAATGAAACTCTTTGGCTTCTTTTCTCGTTCCGGCCTTTGGTTTCCCTTTTGTATTGTCCTGCTTTGGCCACACACCCACACACACACACACACACTGCTGCAATCACTGAAAGATGAAGAAATCGGATATAAATTGGTATTAGAATTAGCATTAAACTTGTTTCCGCGCTTGGTTGGGGGCTGTCATGACAACGCCAACAAAATCATTAACACACAAAAGGAAATCACACAGAAATCACAGAACTGCAGAACAGAAGTTGCAAATCAAAAGAAAATCAAAGTCGTTTTTCCATACCATCCAACAGGCAGTCCCTCCATAAAAATACATTCCCAGTTCATTGAATTGCGATTAATGATATTTTCCCCCAGTCCGTGCATAAATCAACAGAACCAAAAAACCACCTCCATTTCCCATTAATTTCGTCGTCTTTGTCGTTGTTGTTGTTTTTGTTGTTTTCGCTGCGCTGCGCTGCGTTGCGTTTCGGGGGAAAATGTCGGTCATTGGCTGGGGTTTGGTTTTCCTTTGCTATTTTTTCCACGGGGCATTTCGTTCGGTTCGAGTCTGATGGCAATAACCATCGCATATTGAGCATGCAATTGCAGGTGGAAATGGGTGAAGACGATTGCGGGAATGCCCTGTTCTCAAATCGAACGGCAGATAGGAAGGGATAAATAATAATAGTATGTATCTGGACTAACTTGGCTCCTAATTAGGGCCGGGGTGTCAGGAGTGCGTTGTTTATTGTCATTCGAAATCATAGGTCCAACAACGTTCTCTTTTGCAGCATTCGCTTGTGCGTCTCGAGTCTAGTCTGTGGTGCGAACAAAGCTAAAGGACGTCTACCTTTGTTGAGTCTTGTGTGGCTTCTCATAATAAATCCAAAATTCAACGACCACAAAAAACAAAGAAATCCAAAATATTCGAATAAAACCCAAAACGAACAAAATATATAAAGAAAAGATCCACAATGGGGAACAAAATGCTGAGAAAATTGTGAAATTCTATGCATTTTCTTGTGGGGGAACCACGACAGATGAGATTTTGTATTGCGACGCAGCGCAGTTGCTGATCGGTTCGGGTCGGATCGGGCCTGGTCTGGTCTGGTCTGGTCTGTGGGTTTGAGGCATTGGCCGAATGTTTCGAGCATTTTGGGGGATAAACAAAATGCCATAAATATTACAAATTATAAAACAATTTAAAAAGTTGATAAATAATATGCAAAACAATTTTGTTTGCAATTAGAAATCTCGGCAGCCGATAGCCGCGGTCGCATGGCATTCATCGGTGCCAGCGCGACGCCGATTGCTGCCTGCATTTGAGCATGAAAATTTAATTAATGCTAAATTCCTGCCAGTCTACCGTCCCCCTGTGCTCTGCAGTCGACGTCGCGTCCGTTGCATGCAGCAGGCGGCTCGTGCTGAGCGCAACATTTCAAAACAGAGAGAGCTTTGGGTGTCTTTCCTATCTTTCTTTAGTTTTGTTAATGAATGAAAGAAGGAATGTGGGAATGTCTCTTGCCTTTGTTCTTTTTGGGCAACAAACAATTGGCATCGATTCGGTGGACAGAGAGGACAGGGCGGGCTACCCACAGCAAAAGGTACAACTATTCGTTAAACAAAAGCTCCAGCGACAACTGGCATTTGAAAGCTCAAAAGCCACAAAGAATGGAACGGGACGGGAATGGGAAGGCATTACGCATGCATCGCTTCGAGTGCAAGGTCAAGGTCGTCGTGGGGCAAGCTTTATGCAACCAAAGTGGTTTGTGTACGTGTGTGCTGAATATCAAAGCAAACAAACAATTGAAACAACAGAATATTAAATTACTTTATGCAAATATAAAAATGCACCTGAATTTCGTTCCTTCACCCATGGAAAGAATTCACTGCAAGTCTATGTAGACTTGGTCCATTTCCAATGTAAATCTTTATTCATGAATCACCATACATACATGAACAATGTTTATTTTGTTTGTTGATATAATAACGAGAGATTTTTATCGTATATGATTGCCCCTTGGGGAGCATTGCTCCGATTCATTCAGTAAATAAACAACAAAAGTTTATTCGAAAAGTGCAACGCAGTACATATGGAAATTTGTTATACAAATATTTTGTGTCGATGCAATTTCAACTGATTTCGCCTTTACATTATCCAAATAGTACTTTTTCGGTATTTTTAATACCATTTTTTACTTCTTTAAGTTAGGGGGGAAAATCAATGGAACCTCCGATTTTTCTATGGAATTTTTCGATATCTTTTTATCTATAGTTTCTCGCTGATTTTAACCGTTAGCCATTACAAAAAGTTAGATTTAAGGTGAAGAAGATCACCAACACACACACATACAGACATGGAGGAGAAAGCTCAAACACCCAAAACCCCACACAGGACAACGGTAAACAGGTGCAAGCAGCTGATGGGGTGCACAAAAAAAAGCTCAAATGCGCACCCACTGCTTGCGTCGCGCCGGCAGCGAAAGTGCAAAAGCTCTCTGCCACACTCTCACTGGCGCCGCGCTCGCTCACACGCTCTCACTCGCTCTTTTGGGTTCCTTGCTCTTTCGCATTAAATAATATTTGCTGTCCGCTGCCGCTGTCGTTGCCATTGTTGCCGTCGCTGCCGTCGTCGACTCGAAGTCGCAGTGGCAGTACGAGAGGTGCACACGCATCGACGTCGCCAACCGACGCCAACGATGGCAGAGACAACCGAACCGACGCCAACGGCAATGTCTGTGTGGCAAAGGAAGATTTTGAGCATTCCTCCACATTCGCTTGGGTTTTCTGTTTTAGTCAACAACGCGGCAACGGCAAGCGCCAAACGACACAAACAAGAATCGCCTCCGACCGACCGACCCACCTCAAGAAATCTCGAAAACAACACGAAATTCCAAATTGAAATTGAAATTGAAACCAAATATCGAGTAAATCGAAATCAAAAATCGCGTAAATCGAATCCAAAACCAAAACAAAAAGACAAGTTCGAATCCAAACGGTTCCTCGATCTCCATCTCTCTGAATTCGGGTATTCCCGAATCAAGTTCGAAACAAAAGTAAGACATAATCGAATTATAAGTCGAATTGCAGCGATTATGTGCTCTCCAATCTCTCTGTTTATTATGCCTATGAATATCTCAGAATATCTAGCTATCTGTCTATAGGTTCTGTACAAAGTTTTCTATAGATTTTGCTTCGAAATACATTTTTATTTTGGTTATTTTTGTTTTGTTTTTGTGTTGTTTTGTTTGAGTGCCACACGAAATTTTTGAATATCTTTTGCCAAAAACAAGCAATAATTTCGGTCCCGAAAACGAAACAGCTGTGCGTGTGTCTTCCACTCAACCACTCTCTTGCGCTCTTTCTCTCTTTCTTTCGTTTTGTGTTTTCATTTTCGGTTGTATTTCTTGTTGTTTTGAAGGAGCAGTACCCCCCCCCCCCCCCCCCCCCCCACCACCACCAACTCGAGTGCGATCTGTTTGCCGGTAAGCGTTGAGGATTCACAGAAATCCATTGAAACGAGCTGTGAAACAATTTGACATACTTTTACTTAGCGTCTACATATCTTCACACAAGAGGATGATGAGTGCCCAAGTGTCGTGCAAAATTATACACATATTCAAGCGAGTAATCTCTGCCCTGACATGTTCCGAGAATAATTCAAAAAGACAATCCCCCGCGAACGTGACAACTAGAGAGCTCTGTGCATTAGATTAGTTGTGGGGAAGAGGATTCTTGGCAGAGCTTTTAATGGAAAATATATCCATACAGCAATCTCCATTCCACAGATTGCAGAAAAATTCTCTTTTTGGTCAAAAATGTATTAGAGATTGTGAAGGGAATTCACATCCATACCGGAATCGATATGGGAATTTATTTTAAATATTTCTTGAGAATATTTAGAAATTGCAAAGAGAATAGAGTCCATATGATGGAGACCTTATTTAACTCTTTATATTCGATTTATTTTGTAAAATATAAAAAGGTGTGTACCAGCCTCTATATTTTTAAGCCATAAGTACCGGAATGCTGGTTGGTCACTTTTCTCTTCATTTATAGATGCATATTGTACATGAGAGTTCTGTATGAAATCCCAGTAATTTGTTTGTTGAAATAAGCTGTTGCCGGTGAACTTTAAATTTCCTTAATTATCCTTTTACTCCCAGGATCTGCTCGTTCATACATACATATGTACATTTCTGTCAGCCATTCAAAAGTCTAAAAACAATTCAGCTTTTATTTCGCAATTATTTCGCTTTATTAAATCCATTTCTTTGAATTGATTTTCGAAAAATGTTTACGAACAAATCTGTTGGCCGTAAATCACTGTGCAAAATTTAATGGGTTGGCTTTCTTTGAAAAGATTTTGTATGCTTAAATGAATGTTCCATCTTAACGTGAACATAAGCCACATCCGATGCCAAGACGCGCGCGGCACGTGCCTAAAAATAATAGCATGCAAATCATAAGCGACATTTAATCGAGTTGACAGGATTTTAAATGATTTTCTATACGCTGGCAAAAGAGAACACCCCAAAACAGATTTAGCTTTAGTGGGCCAGACATTAGATGTTCCACAGAATACCCACCCAACCCCACCCCTACCTCCAGATGCTGCCCCCATCCATTCCAGCGCAAAAATATGTGCAATAAAAGTAGAAGCCAATGAGGAGGAAAAAAGAGAAGAAAAGGAAAATAAGAAAAAAGAGGACAAAGAACAACAAAAAATCTGCTTTTATGCGCCAATAAAATCTGACTAAGCACGGGGTGGCACGGGGACTGGAGGAAGGCTAAACATAAGCAACCAAAAATTAATTAACAAAATATGTTGCAGCCCAGCCAATGGCAGGCAAAAGAAAAAGCGTGCTGCAAGTGGGGGGAAAAGATGAAAATGAAATATCTTTTCTACAAAAATCTTAGCTTGCAGATGGAGTAGATGTGGGATGAATGATGTGTGCCATAGCAATTAATTGTTGTCGCCAAATGCTGTCCCCGTCCGTGTCCCGCGTCTCGCAACACTTTGTAGCTGGAAGCAAAAAAAAGAAACCGAAACAGACTGTAGTCCGCCCAAGCCTTGACTTGATAGTCAGAATTGTAGGTTAAAATGAATATCCATCATTCATTCACTACAATTCAATTCAATTCAATTCCCTAATTCTAGTCAAACATTTAACATTTATTAAGTACAAATTAGGTTTAGGTGTAGTTTCAGCCGTTTTTAGTGTTGGCAAAAGTGGTTTTAGACTTTCAGTTTTAAATTGATTTAATTTTCATATTTTAAATGTCGGTCCAAAGTGAGTCAGGAATAAATGAACAAAATAATAATCTTTCACCAACTCTCTGTCTCTTTCGTTGGCAGGCTTTCTTGGCAGTTTTTTATCAAAGGGCCTGAAGACCAATCAATTGGTTGTGAATACGGATGAGAAAACCCTGCGACCCGTTGCACGACTGAAGGAACCGCGCGATCTTTTCGCCCTGCCGAAGGACAAGGACAATGACTGCTCACAGCAGGCCCCCAGATGGCCGGTGGAGTGTCAGGTGAGTGCAAAAGTGCAGCAGCTGAACTCTACCCATTGACTCGGCACATGGCTCATCCAGACAACCATCCATACCATCCCATACCATTTCAATATCGAACGAAGGACAGCCGCTGGCTGTCCTAGTTTCGGTGGGACGGGAGGGGGAGTGGGTGGGATAGGATATTCAATGACTTTGACACGCACCTTGTCTGGCAGGATATCCCGGGGACATGCGTGCCTCGCCTCATAAATATTAATGCACATAAAACGAGCCAGCCAGCGAGCGAATCTTTTACGCTTGGCTAAAAAAGAGGAGTCGAGGTGCCGACGATGGTGGGGTGCGACCTCGCGGAAGCTTTAAAAGGCAGCGCGCCCCCACAAAAAAGGCAACAGAAACTAATTCGCCTCCCATTCTCGCATCCTCATCTATACCACACTCCTTCCTGCTCTCCGTCTCTCTCTCTCTCTCTCTCTCTTTCTCTCTACCACGAATACATATGTACATATGTAGGTCAAATTGCAATAAAAACAAAAAAAAACTAAAATAAAATAAAAAGGTGCACGCTCGTCCCCGCCTCCCCCCCCCAATCCAACCCATCGGCGTTTACACCTCGTTAACCCACCGGTTAACCCCCATGGCATGCGGCACACATTTGTTAGCCAAAATACAACAAGAAAAATCCTTTAGTTTCCGCTTGTTTTTGTTGCTGTTGTTGATCATCAGATTTCTGTTCGTATTGTTTTTTTTTTTTTGCCTAATTGTTGGGCCAAGTCGTTGGCCATGTTAAGAATTGATTTGATTTGTTGCACGGATTTGTAAATTCGATTCTGCTGCCAAATTGTGTTTTAGACAAATATTACACATACACCCCGTCCGCAGCTACTACAATCTATTTAATGATCTATGGGCTATAGAATAAAAGGCTGTGCAGTGGTGTGTGGTGTTGGGTCTGTGGGGTCTGTGGGGTGGTGAAATGCCAAAAGAGAGTTGGCCAACACTGACTGCTAAGTGGTAATAGAGAGAACTACGACGAGGGGATGGCAGATGGCAGTCGGTCTATCAAAGTGGAGGTCAATTGTTGAGCAATTTGTTTGTGGCGCAGTTTGAACATTTCCCTGTCAATTACCTTGTTTTCCGTTTACAAAGGTGCCAACAAAACAAACAAGCTAAAAAACCATCAATAAAAGATTGTTTTTTTTTTAAGTTAAATTTGAGCACATCATCTGCGATCGATAACGAATATCCTGAACAGCTTGGCATTTCTTCTCATCGTTCCTTCTTTCACCTCTGCTGTGAGAAAAGCTCTAGGCACGCTCCGCGCTCATACACTCAAACACACAAACACACACCCGCTGCTCTCTCTCTCTCTCTCTCTCTTGTAAAGTTTCACGAACTGTAAATGCAATTAAGGACAAAAATAATAACAAGGAAAACAATCGGCAAAGAAAGTTAGACAAATCGCCTTTTCTTTTTCGCTTTGAATGCCCTTTGCCAATAACGGGTATACTGATTTTCAAGGGATTTCGAAGTGGTAGCAGACTATTAATCAAAAAAGTACCTATATAAAATGGTATATCGGTATATTCCAGGTACACCAGAAATACATTAAATAAATAATCCTATCTGATAGAGTATCAAATTTGCTTCGTTTGTTCTTCCTTTCTCTGTCTGTGATTCTTCTGTTGTGTATTCCCTCCTTGCTTATCCTCATGGGCGGGAGAACACGACGTTCAAATTTGCGAACGCAAATTAAAAGTGAAAAGCGAAATTTCAAAAACGCCTTCAGTGTTGATTTGACTTTGTATTTGTTGTACCGTTGTACCTGCGCTGTTGCCGTTGCCGTTGATGTTGTTCTGTTTGTTGTTTTGCTACAGTGGCACTGGCATTGGCAATGGTCGAACGGACAAATGAACGGTACCGTGCATAAAGGCATACAAAGTTTTCATTACCAGAGGGACAAAAAAAGAGATAGACAGAGCAGAGAGAGGCGAAAGGGAAGCCTGACAGCGAGATGAGAGAAATAAACAAGCTAATTAGTTAGTTAGTTTGATAACACACACAGACAACACACAACACACATGCACTGCACAAAAAAATAAGCTGAAATGAATACAACAAAAACATAAAAAGAGCAGTGGCAGAGACAGAGAGAAAAGGATGATTTACAGCAACCTTTGGCACACGTCACACAGCGCGATAGCAAGGGCGAGGGCGGATTTCTGTTTCGTTTTCGTTTTGCTCTCGTCTCGGGAAAGAGCTGCTGCTGCTGCTGCCGCTGCCGCTGCCTCTGCCAACTGACGGATGATATGTTTCAATTAAGCCAGAGCTCACTCGAACACACACACACGCTCACACATGCAGACGCACACAGAAGGAGAAACACGACAGAGCTTCAGATTTGCATGTAAAGCCTCTGCTGCCGCCTCACACAGTGGAACGAAATGTTTTACGAAATATGTGATGTGGGGTAATATTAAAGTTCCGTTAGCAGAACAATTTGTACATTAAGATTACATTACTTCCCAGAGAGTATTTCACCCCTTAAAGTACATAAAATAATTGCTTGAATGCACAGTAGTAGGGTATCAAAGGTGTGAAAACTCTCCGCTCATGGCTTATGCTAACCTGGCTTTAAAGTTCCCTCGAGATTTGCCCGTGGATCTTAGTGGCCCACTGTGCACATCTATGCCATACCATCGCGTCTTATGTAAGTAAGCGCCACTATATCCAGGGCTAAACAAATAAGCTTCTCCAGCTTGTGGGTACAATAAAAACACAGCAAATGACGTGAAAGCCAAATCTGTGGATGGGCAGGCAGGGGGTAGGGCAAGAAGAAAATGACTAAGGGGTCGAGGTGGAAGAAAGAAAGGAACTGGGGGGGGGGGACTGCTCATCGGTAACTACGACTCGCAATCGTATGGCTGTTATTTTGCCAAAATTCCTTATTAAAGACCCAATCCAGCGATGAGAATTTGTGCGGCACCAAACATCTGGCACTAGATGTTGATGAATACTTGAATACCACTGGGGGGAATAACAGGTGGGGAGGAAAGTAGTCAAAGAAAATGTCAACGATAAATGGGAATAATCAAAGCTGGTGCCGTTTGCTTATGAAACATTTTCACAGCGAATTCAAATGAAGGATTTGCTTCCGTTTACTTCATTCCTATTTATTGTATATTTATGTGGCCTAATCTCCATGCAGGTCATCGAGGAGCGCATCACACACATTCCCTATGTGCCGGCCCAGCCCGAGCCGCTCAATGCGCCGACGGGCAACGAGCTGAAGCCACGGCCCGTGGGCGAGGAGAATGGAATTGTTGTGTTCAGCTACAGTCCCATCAGTGCGGTCAATTATGTAAGTATTCCGCATTCCGCATTCCCTTTCCATTCGTAGAGATTCATTCCACACACACACACACACAAATGTCACGCACTTTGCACTCGGCACTAACCCTTTTGGGGGAGGGCGAGGGATACAACAACATTCACCTGATTTCCATTTGAATCCGGCACTAAATTAAAAACAAAACAAAAAACGAAAAACCACAGGCAAAGCCCAGGGCCAAGAAGGAGGATGAGTCGAGTGATGAGTCGGACTACTCATCGGACTCCAGGAACGACTCAACGCCGCCCAGTCGATCGACGCCAGTGCGGCAGCCGGCTGGGAGTCGCGGTGGCAAGCTGAACAGCGTCTCCAAGATGATCAACAGCCTGGACAATCGCTCGACCAGCGCCTCCCTGGACGATGACGTTGATTACGATGATGAGTATGACTACGACACGAGTGGCGCTGGCTGCGGCTTCAGTGGCGAGGCTCGGGAAAAAGCCATCATCAAGGATCTCATTGAGGAGAAGAAGCGCCGCTACATGAATGCCGCTGCCAGCGCAGAGGAGAAGCAACAGCAACAGCAACAACCCACTGCCGGGGCAAGTGCTGGCCACAACAGCCAGACGGCCAGCCGATCGGAGAGCAAGCCCAAGAGCACGTCGACGGAGAAGAGCAACGCCATCAGCGAGATCGATGACATCTGGAAGAACAACACCAGCGAGTACAAGCCCGCCTCGCCGCGCTACATCCTCAGCCAGTTTGGGAAGAATGTGACCAAGGCCATGATCGATCGCCTGGTGGATCAAGGCGATGACAAACACCCGACAACGGGCACGGCCGGCGGCAATCAAAAGGTAGCGTCGTCGAGCAAGTATGCCATTTCCCCGATCAAGTTGCCCAAAAAGAACATTGCTCGCCTGGAGGTGGCCTTTGAGCGCAGTGCTCGTCCCGTTTCACCGAACTCGAACATAGTCACAAATTCAGAGACGAAGCAAAGCTCCGATTCCGATAAGGAATCCACCACCGAATCAGTTGACACAACATCGTGGCATTCATGTCGACTTTCTGGCGGTGCCGACACTATGCCACTGTCTCCTGCTGGCTCGGAAACTGTCTCCGAAACGGAAACCTTGGTGGGGGAAGAGAGCAAGAGCGAAATCAGGCTAGCATGTAAGCAGAGGGAGAGCTCTGGCAGGGCCTCAGGACTCGGCCCAAGATGATCAAAGATTGTGGAACCCATAGAGCTTTCACTCTCACTCTTTTCTTTGTGTGTTCTATAATCTTTGATATCTTTCTTAATGGTTTAGAGAAATAAGTAGTTAAGTAGTTGACCTTGATCCTAATCCTACCCACAGCTGTGGGGCAGCAGAGCAGGATTAAGTACCCAAGAGCGAGGAACTGCACCGTGCCATATACGCATGCGCAAACCCTTGCAGCAGCAGCCAATAGGGTAGCACGGGCCCATCGTAATGCAGAGCCAAGGCTCATGGGTGAAGGTAGGACGGGTACTGGGACTGGGACTGGGACTAGCACTGGCACCACCACGAGTAACCTTAATGCTTGTAGCCCGAGCATAGATTCATCGTTCCAGAGTCAAGAATCAACGACTAATCAGGAGACGAACACCTCGTCTCAATCGTTTTTATCCTCTTCTAATCCTTTGCCACAAGAACAGTTCAGCCGTTCGGCGGTGGGCGGTGCCAAATTCGTCACAAACTGCCATCCCATGAATCCGGAGGAGTACGATGGCCTCGAGTTTGAGTCGCGCTTCGAGAGCGGCAACCTGGCCAAAGCGGTACAGATCACGCCCACCTACTATGAGCTGTATCTGCGTCCCGATCTCTACACGAGCCGCTCCAAGCAGTGGTTCTACTTTCGCGTGCGCCGCACACGCCGCAAGATGCTCTATCGCTTCTCGATTGTGAATCTCGTGAAGTCCGACAGCCTCTACAATGATGGCATGCAGCCGGTCATGTACTCCACACTGGGGGCCAAGGAGAAGAGCCAGGGCTGGCGGCGTTGTGGTGATAATATCTGCTATTATCGGAATGATGATGAGTAAGTTAGGAGCCTCCTCCTCTCTCTCTCTATCGCTCTCTCTGCATATCTTTATTGTGTTGTTATAATCCCAAGAAGAAGTACCAGCAACAATGCCAATGAGGAGGATGAAGACAACTCCACATACACGCTCACATTCACCATTGAGTTTGAGCACGATGAGGATGCGGTTTACTTTGCCCACAGCTATCCGTACACGTACAGTGATCTGCAGGACTATCTCATGGAGATCCAGCGGCATCCGGTCAAGTCAAAGTTCTGTAAATTGCGTCTACTCTGCCGCACATTGGCGGGGAATAATGTCTACTATCTGACGGTGACGGCACCCTCCAGCAATGAAGAAAATATGCGGGTAAGCCAAGCAGTCAGAGATCTGTAATCGATCATAAATTTCCCTTTGATTTACTTGTGTGCAGCGTAAGAAATCAATTGTGGTATCGGCACGTGTCCATCCAAGCGAAACGCCCGCCTCGTGGATGATGAAGGGACTGATGGACTTCATCACTGGCGACACAACAGTGGCCAAGCGGCTGCGCCACAAGTTCATCTTCAAGCTGGTGCCAATGCTGAATCCAGATGGTGTGATTGTGGGCAATACGCGCAACTCGCTGACCGGCAAGGACTTGAATCGTCAATATCGCACGGTTATCCGTGAGACATATCCATCCATTTGGTATACAAAAGCCATGATTAGAAGGTGAGTCGCAGTAGTGTGTCTTCCCCAAATCAAACCCATCTGTTTGCCCCCGGTTTATAGACTGATTGAAGAATGCGGCGTGGCCATGTACTGTGACATGCACGCGCACTCACGCAAACACAACATATTTATTTATGGCTGTGAGAATAAGCGAAATCCGGAGAAGAAGCTCACCGAGCAGGTGTTCCCCTTGATGCTACACAAGAACAGTGCAGATCGGGTGAGTGATTGATGCGAGTTGTTGGATAACTTATTGTGGCATCATATGAACATATTTTAGTTCTCGTTTGAGAGCTGCAAATTCAAGATACAGCGCAGCAAAGAGGGCACTGGTCGTATTGTGGTCTGGATGTTGGGCATCACCAATAGCTACACAATTGAGGCATCCTTTGGTGGCTCCTCGCTGGGCTCACGCAAGGGTACGCACTTCAATACGCAGGTAAGTGCAATCAGATTGAGCCCAGATGTGCCTAGATGTACCCCAAGCGATGGGCAGCAACAGGCAGCACTTTGATGCTCGTGATGCACAAGCAAATGCTGCTCAAAGAGAATGGCCGAGAATACAAGTTCGCGTGTCGTTCGTTACCTTTACCCTGATACCCTTTCTTTTTGATTTTGGTTTTCGCAGGACTATGAACACATGGGACGTGCATTTTGTGAGACACTTTTGGACTATTGCGATGAGAATCCAAACAAAGTAAAGCGCCATGCAAAGTTATTTAAGCAAATCAAAAAGATAAGAAAACGCGAGAAACGCGAACAGAAAGCATTAAAATTACAGAAAATGGCCGATCAGGGATGTATAATGAACGATAAGCTGAAAGTGAAACGTTCTGTGGAGAAGAGTGTCTCCTAGGAAGCGCTTCTCTCCGGAAACTCTTCTCGAACACACACACACACACACAGACACTACAAAATACACACACACAGAGAGAGACACGATTGTTGTAGTGTGTCTCAAAATGTATTTTATGTTATCGTCATCGTAATTGTTATCGCTGTTTGTGTTTGCCCGATAATCGCAATCGTAATTGTAATCGTATCGCTATCGCGCTGTGCTGTGCTGACAAGTCAAACATACGTATACCCATCCCCCATAGAGTACATATATATATATATATACATAAACCCATATACTATACCCACACCACACCCACTCCCACACACATCCGATGAGAAAATTGCGAAGAGAAGAACAAGTTGTCGCATTAACAGCGTCCCACACATCGGCCAGAGCCAAAGATCTATATATATATATATAGATAGATATACGGCATTGAATTGAATTAATTTGAATGCTGTCTATTTGCGCGTATCGCAGTTTTTCTAATGTTTTTGAATTCCCAATTGCGTGGATAGTTCGCACCCTCCCGAAAGAGAGCTCCACTATGCACGCAATGGGATCATATATATATATGTATGTGCATATATACCGCACACACACACACACACAGCCGTAATTATAGTAGTAATTAATTTGATGTACACACAGCACAGCCAGAACCGAAATAACTCTCTTTCTATTACAATAATTATTCTATAATCTGATTGTGTTTTGTTTATTTTTTTTTTTTTTGTACTTTAATTTACCTTTACTTTAAATGTTTTTAGTGGTAAGCAAACAGAAAACTGCGTATTATTATAACCGAAGAATATTATTTTTTGAAATAAATATACCATTTCTATACAGTAGACTTTGTATCCACATGTCGTCGATGTCTGTAATTTAGTTTAGTTTTATTGCTGCTCTTTTCTGCTTTGTATTTTGCACACGTTTCTTAATTTATGAATTAACTTGTTGACTTCTTTTTTGATTTCCGCCTGGGTATGATTTCTAACTAATCCAAATGCATTAACATTCACAATAGATTTTAAATTTACTCAAACAACAGGACAGGCTGCGATCCAAAATCATCGAAAGACTGATGAGAGAAGGCTCCAGTGCAGACGAGCCATTGAATATACCATTATCGGATTACTCCAGGTACGACTCAATCCACAAAGAGCCTCAAGACTTTGTTGACTTTATAGTGTGTCCGTTCGCTTATGGGAACATTGAAACTCTGAGCAGTTTTCATAGGAAAATATGCCTGCATTTTTCACTCTGATCTATCTTGTGTGTGTGTCCGTTCGCTTATGGGAAATTCAAAGAAAATAGACAAAAGCCTCAAAGAATCAAGGGATCAAGGGATCAAGGGAATTGATTAACTTTAAAAACCACTTCGAACCCAATCCATTACTAAGCCTTAACAATATCTTTTATGCACCATTTCCACGCATGAACAACAAACAGCGACGAGGGCAACTGCAGTTCCAGTTCGGACAACGAGGGCAAGCACTCAATCACGGCCTCCGATCTGGAGGGACCCTGCTGTGCACCCACACGTGCCCCGCCCAGTTCCCCCGAGGTCATACATGAGATACGAAAGGTAGGTCGTCCAATGGGTCCACTGACAGCACCGTAATGCACCTGCACCTACACCTCTACACCCCTACACCTGTCCTTCTCTGGTGTAGTTCCGCTTGCGGCGCATGAGGAAGGTGATGCACGAACTGGATCGCATTTACTTTACGCCGATGTTCCAGCGCAAGTTCAAGGCAATCAACACACTGAAGCGACGTCGCCACAAGCTGGGCGCCACCAAGACACCGTCGACCGTCGTGGTCAAGCGACTGAAAGGTGGTGGCGGTGGGCCAGAGGGCAGCAACACCACTGCCAACGTTGCATCGATGGCTGAGCAGAGGAAGAAGCCCGTGGAAAAGGATAGCGCTGACAGCAGTGGTTCGAGCTCTCAGTCGCAGGAGAATGACTCGGCAGAGACAACAAAGAAGCCAGCAGCGCGAGGGACACGAAGCACGGCCAGCTCCAGTCAGGCTAGTGGAGCATCCAAGCAGAGAGCCAAAAAGAAAAAGTGTTTGCCAACGGAGACGAAGAAGAAGCCCCAAGCGAATCACAAGCTGCATGTGAATCGCAACTTTCGCCTGTGGCTGGCCAATCGCAAGATCTTCATATGTCGCCGTAGAAAGGTAGAGTCCAGCCACTGTCAGGGTTCACCAATGCACTCCACTCACGCGAACAATCACTGTTCCTCCTCCATCTTTGGGCCTCTTCCATTCTCATTCTAATCCCCATTAGTCCATGCAGACGCGTCGCACTCGCGTGCGCAACAAGGCGCCCAAGAAGCGCGGCGAGGTGGTGCGCACCACACTGGATCTGCCCACCACCGATCCTGGCTCCGATCTGCACTTCTCCACCGACGACGAAGAGCACTCGCCCACCATCGGGCCGAGTGGCTATGGTGCCGTGGCACCACTGCGGCACACCCTGCTCCAGAGCGAGCTGCAGCGGCGTTACATTGAGGAAATCGGCGACACGGTGGTGCAGAAGCCAAAGCCCGCCTACATGCCACCGGAGCTGATTGTGACAACGCCCTCGAAGAGCAACACACCGGGCGGTGGGGCCAAGCTCGACTTTTACAAGCTAACGCCGCGCACTGCGCCCGAGCTGGATGGCGGAGCCCAAAGGGGCATGTACAAGCAACAGGGTGGCAGCCTTGGGGGCGCAACATCAACGTCGGCCCGGCGCACCTACTCGTGGCACAATCTCGACCAGGAGGCAGCCGCCATTTCCTCGAGCAAGCAGGCAGCCGCCAGCTTCTATATGCATGAGAGCAAGGCAGCGATGAAGATAAAGCCTCCGCCACGAAGGTAAGCGCCATCCAATCCAATCGATCCAATGCATGATGCTGATGCCTGCTGGCACACAGGCATGTTCCCAGCAACTTCATACCGCAGCGAAATGTGACAAACACATCCTCGGCGGATGATCTGCAGCTGAAGCTGTCGCTGAAGAAGAAAATCTGGACGGGTGCCCACGGGGAGCCCGACGGACGACCGCTGTCCTGGTTCAAGGGTCACATGAACCAGACGCACCAGTCACAGGCTCAGGTGCAGGCGCAGACCAATGCCATGGCCAGTGCAGCCAGTGCCATACGCAGTGCAGGAGGAGGAGGAGGAGGAGGAGGAGGAGGTGGCACAGCAAGCCGCACCGTGTTCACTGCTGCCAGTGGCAAAGAAGCGACTGCAGGCGTGGCAACAGGAGCTCCAGCAGCAGCAGCACCGCCCACACGCAAGCCCAGGAAGCTCGAGCAAGTGGATTTGTTCACGTAAGTGGGCGCTCCAGTGGAGCTCCAGAGTGGGCAAAAATCTCAGAACTGATATTTGAATTGAAATTGCAGCGCCTGCTCCCAGAAGCTCATCATGTGGCAGCAGCAGGAGGAGCACAAGAAAATGCAGCCGCAGCGTCTGATACGCGTTGAGGAGCAACAGCGTGAGATGATGCGCTCCTTCAAGCCCATGCAGCTGGGCAAGAAGCAATCATTGATGGGCAGAACGATGGCCGGGCTGGGCCCCGATGCCAGCAGTGCTGGACTGAAGGTCAAACGTAAATCGAGCAGCATGATGAAGATTGCAGAGACCACACAGCTGGTCACACGCTTTGCACGCACACGCGGCAGTTCCGGAAGCTCGGCACTCCAGCAGCAGCAGCAGCAGCAGCAGCAGATGCAGCTGCAGCAGCAGCAGCACGCATCTCAGGGCCAGCGTATGATGTACAAGAATCAGTCGATGGCCAACTCGGGCAGCGGACGCCATTACTCCGCTGGCATGATCAATCCACAGCATGGACACCGCGGTCCCAGCAAGTTCAAGACGGGCGGACTGGTGGTCACTGCCGTCCAGCAGCCGGGCATGGCGCCCGGCAGCAGCAACAGCTCTCGACGGATGCGCAATGCAGCCGGACTGCCGGTGAAGGCCAGCCAGGGCCACACAGCACTCGGAGCAGCTGCAAACGGCAGCATCAGCAGCGGCAATGGAAACGGTTTGCTGCAGTACCAGCGGAACAGTGCCGCCAACACACAAATCAGCAAATCCTCAACGACGGGCATCAGCCTGGACACGGTCAACCTGGTGCGCAAGGTGAAGACCAAGCTGAAGAAGCGCAAGTCCCGCGCTCTGACCAATGGAGCTGCCAAGTAGTATACAACAACAACACGACACACCGCACCCCCTCCATCCAACGAGCCTCACTTCCTTCACTCAAGAAACCAGCTACAGCTGCTGCTACTCCTTCGAGCCTTCCAATCAGCAAGGAGGAGCCCATTGCATTGTGTGTTTTCAGTATTGAATTTTGTTTAAACCTTTAACCGCCTCCCTGCCTCTCCCCCAACATGTTGTTTTGTTCCGCTTTAAATCGAAATCTTTAGTCGAATTTTCAACTCAAGTTTGTTATGCAAAAATGATTAGCAAAATTAATATAGTAAATAGCCCGTACATAACATGTATATGTATATGTATATGTATATATAGCAGACCATATAGGCTTGGTGCATGCATATATCTTGAAATCAATTCTGTACCTATGATTAATATATCCATAAATTAATGTTAAAAAATGTGTGGCTGCTCTTTTTTTTTGTGTGTGTTTTCTATGGAAATTTGCAATAAAAAAGCATTCAAAAAACAAAACGAACCAGCGGCTCTTCATGGGAGAGGGTGAGATTGTGCTCTTGGCTTCAATAAATAATTCACACAACAAAAAATCAATTACGCACATGTCCGGCAAACGGCAGAGAACACACACACCAAACTAAAAGAAAAAGCTGGACAGGACCCTTGACCAGACGGCACGTGAGTGGGTGGGAGCGGGGAAGGGCAGTACTTGACTCAGAAATTGGGTTACTGTACATACCTTTGCACCGAACCACAAGCCGCCGCTCAAACTTTTGCACAATTCAAGCTGAAGTCGTTTTATTTCATTAACTCTGACTGAAATGTTTAAATATTGGCGAAAGTAAACAAAATGTTGCCCAATTGTGACCTCTAGTGATGGCAGCGCGAACTTTCGATAGCCATGCAAATGCCTGGCAAAAAGCTAGCAGTTCCGACACTCTAGCCATCGATAGAAGCAAAGCTTATTTTATTATTTATATGTAGAATATTTACATTCCCTCTGAACTGGATTGGTCATTAAGGACAATTTTGAACAGCAGAGCCAACAAGTATGATACAAATTTCACCATTGTAATCGATAGCTAGTTATTAAACGCCTACAATGCGCCTGGATAATGTTTATAGAATAAACAATAATGCCTATAAACAATCATTTTGGCTTATAATGTACTCAAATGTAATGGACTCCCAGCTGTGAGCATCGATTTCACAGCTGTTCGAGGGCATATCTCATCACTAGAAACACTATCGACTTGTTATCATTTTTGGAATGTTGTGCCCTAGGGCCACACAATTTATTTGTATTGTTTATATTGTTGTAATATACCCAAGCCATTATGCTAAATTAATTAAACTACATACACATGCATGCTAGACGTATGTGGGTAAATGTGTGTGTGTGTGTGTGTGTGTCTCTATGTACTGGTTAAGTGTCCCTTCTGGTTGCTGCTTGCGGCTGCTGCTCCTACTCGTCGCCAGCGTTTTTGTTCAAATTAACTAAGAAATTACAATTACTACAGAAATAAATAGGATAACCAAGTGTTAAGATATACTAGAACCAAATTTGAGTTTCGGTTCGCCTCAGACATTGACGGCATTCTGCAGAGCCGTCTTATCGTCCACAATGATATTGGCCGCCGTTGTGGTTGGATTCGAGCTGAGCAATTGCTTTGTCGATGAGCTGGATGAGTAGCTATCACTGGAGCTGCGTGTGGATGCCGAATTGCCGCTTATCGGACTATCCAGCATATCTGTAAGCGGAGGAGGAGCGGCAAGACATTTACATTAATTGGGATAGAGAACTCAAAAGAGAATCAAATCCTACCTGGCAGCGAGCTAACATTGTTGGACTTCAAGTCAACAACTGTGCCCGAACCGGTGCCCGCCATGTTGCCCACCGAAGTGGACTTCTTGTGTAGATTCTTCTTCATGGCACTGCTAAATCCCACCACCACACTGGTTGGTGTGCCGCCTCCGACGCCAGCACGAATCCCGCCACTTGCATTGCCACCGCCTGTGGATAATCCGCACAGCGGATCACCGCTTTTGGCACGCTCTCGCTCACGCTCCCTCTCCGTGGGACAGAGTGGGCTTAGTATCGAGTTCTGCGTATCCTCGGGCGTATAGTAGTCCGAATCATCGGCCGCTGGCTCCCCGGAGCTACCAGCTGCACCGCTGCCAGCACCGCTTCCACTGCTCGGCAACTCGGGCCTGGGTTTGGCTCGCTTCAGCGAGGCGGCGCTCTTCTTGCTGCCTGTCTCATCGCTGGCCGCTCCACTATCACCGCCGGCTCCCGAGCTGCCGCCGCCGCCTGCCTTGTCCGCATCGTCCGCCTCCAGGCAGGCCACAACCTGCTTGAGTGACTTGTTAGAGAGATTGCGGCTCTTGCTTCCCGGCGACAGCAACGGAGACAATTTCTCGTTCTCACTGTCCACATCGTCATCAGTGCCAGCCGAGGCATCGCCACCTGAACCAGTACCTGCTCCACCGCCTCCATTTCCTCCTCTGGTGGTTGATGGATACTTTCGCTCATTCACAATCTGCAGCTTGTCCTGCTTCAACTCCTCCAGCACAGTGTTGCTGGTGGGTGAGGTGATGGAAGTGGCAGCCGCAGCAGCTGCAGCCGTGGCCGTTGCCTTTTTGGGATCGTTTTCGATCTCCACCACAGACAGGTTGCCAGCCGTCTGGGGCGTTGTGATGGTGCCCACCTCGCTGGTGGAAGTGCACGTCGAGGCATTCTTCTTGATCTTGGGGCGACGCGTGCTGTTGGACTTGACGGGCGAGGTGGCCTTGATGTCGCTGCTGGTCATTGTGGAGGCGGCCACAGTGGCCGCTGTGTCCGTAATATCGTGCTCGCTTGTCCTGCAAGAGAAAAGGATAGACGATAGTTTCTTGTGACTGAATGGGACTGACTGGCGCTGAGTTTCTCACCTGGCTCTGGCCACATATTGGGGCGGCCCGTTGAGTGCCTCAATTAGCGAGACGGGCACATAGCCCGGTGGCACATCCACCGGTGCCGCATCCCCGCCCGCCGACGTCGGTGTATTCTGATGCAGCACATGGGTGCTGATGCCCTTCTGCACGGCGCGTATCTGCAGCAGGGCGCGGAACGGTGCCCGACAGATGGGACAATTGTTGGCCTGGTAGCGCAACGAGTCCGCGCACGAGTTGCACAAACAGAGATGACGACAGGGCAGAATGAGGGTGTCGCGCGTCTCGCTCATGCAGATGACACACTCGCTGCCATGATCGTCGATGTCCTCGTCGATGGAGGACTTGTTCACCGCCTTGTTCTCAATGCCGTAGATCTCCTGCAGCAGATAGCACAGGCCGTCCACGAAGATCTTCTGCTTGAGGGCGCGCAGCACATAGCTGTTCGTCTCCGGATGATGGTCGATCACACAGATGGTCGTGTGCGACTGTCGGCACTCGTCGTTGCCCTCCTCCACCACACAGTGAATGGCCACGGGATACTGCTCGCGGCCCGAATTGTATATGAAATCGTCCTCGGGTATCACCTGAGGATTGAACACATGCCCCGGCTGCGAGAAGCTCTGATTGATGCCCTTGTCGAAGTGATAGGTCTCTGAGGTGAGGCCCTCGCGTGCCACCAGGGTGACGCCACTGGGACTGACCTCCTCGCTGGCGAAGTAGTACACGGTGATCGCGCACTTGGCATCCGAGTCGAAGGTGAACTCAATGTTGTAGCAGCAGGGCGGCGGCGGGGCCACCGAGTCCGAGCTGCCGCTACCCAGGCCCATCGAGCAGAGGACATTCCCGTCGACATCCTCGATGGTTACGTTCGTCTTGTCGATGTCATCGATGATCTCCATGGGCTTGGGCTTCTCCTTGATGGGACTGGCGGCGGCGGCGTCCACGCAGTCTGGCTTCTTGTCACTTGGCACGCGCACGAAGCGAACAGACTCCTTGCGTATGTTAACCAGGCTCTTGAGGGTCTTGGTCGGCTCGTTTGCTTGGGGCGGCGGATAGGGGAAGGCCGTCGGGCGATTGCCCAGGAAATTCAAATCTGCATTCTCACCGAAAAGATACGATTCCGGTTGGGGTGTGTCGAAGCGCTCGCCGCCCATTATGAAGTGGGTGCCAAAGAAGTTGCCCATCCGAGGCGGATATTTGTAGGCATTGTTGGGTATCTGGTCCGCTTCCTCGACCGCTGCGTTCTGCCTGCTCACAAAGTTGCCCATTTATGTGCGGAGCTGATTATAGCCGAATAGCTGATGGTGGTTAACTGTGTAGCCTGTGTCGACCAGACCGTCCGTATGTTGAGTTTATTGTTCCCGAAACTGTTTTTCTTCTCCTTTTTCCTCAAGCGACTATTGCGATTACATGGCAAACAAAGTGCGATAACACAACGAGTATCTATCTATCGATGGCACTATCGGCTGATGAGTGCTGTATCAGGTGGCTTTTGTCAAGGCAACACTGACACAACAAACGGGCGCCAAAAGAGCGTATGTGAAATAGAAACGAAAACGTTGTCAATAAATTGTTTACTACAATAAGCAGGCAAGCGTAATAGTGAAAGTGTGACTTGCAAAATGACGATGAGCCTGGATGAGACCATCTGTGCGTATTTTGTGAACAATCTGAAAGCCAGCGACAGCAATGAGACGGACACACTCGAGCAGTTCACAACGGCACTGGAGCTGCTGGGCAAGCAGCTGGCCGAGACGCAGATACGCCAGATCAAGCCCAGCGAGGGCTATCCTCTGATCGCAGCCGGTAATCTCACCAAAAAGGATGTCTTTGTGCTGGCCCAATTCGAGGGCGATTTCTTCCAACAACTGCAAATGACCAAAGCCCTGATACTGGGTCCGCCGTGCCTGGTGTCCTGCCTGCGGCAAAACGAACCCATACCGCTGGGCAGCAGTGCCATCTACACCACGGCCATGCGCGATCTATTGGTCTCGGCGAGCGGCATACCACCGCAAAAGAAGGAGGAGCTGAGCAAACTGATTAACTGGATGGGCGGCGTTTACTTTCAGAGTTTCGGTCACCGCACCACGCACCTTATCTCGAACACCATCAAGTCGCACAAGTACGAGCAGGCCACGCTGACCGAGGTGCCTGTGATGCATGTCGACTGGGTGCAGTATGTCTGGGACCAGAGTCGCAAGCGGCAGCGTGAGAGCATACGGGCCACAGACACAGAGTTCGACAAGTACCGCCTGCCCACGTTCTTTGGGGCGAACATCACCTGCAGCGGCCTCGATGTGGCGCGCAAGGATCAGGTTATGCAGCTGGTCAATGAGAATGGGGGCATCTACCATCGCGCCTTTCGCTCCCAGGTGGTGGACATTGTCATCACCGAGCAGTCCAAGACGGACACCGACAAGTACAAGGCGGCCATACGCTACAAGAAGGATATCCTGCTGCCCGAATGGATATTCGATAGCCACAGTCGCGGCTATGCTCTGCCCACCAAGAAGTACGAGGTGCGCGCCAAAAAGTCGGTCTCCACGCCCACCAAGAGCTCAGGCAGTGGCGGGCGAACCTCTGCGGCGGGCGACCAGACGCAGCTATCGGATTTGTCCAGGATTAGCTTTGTCTCTAGCTCCCGTCGCATGTGCAGCGACATGACCACCGTCAACGAAACGCTCAGCAGCCCATCCAAGGGGCTCCTGAAGCAAGCGACCACCAGTAGCGGCAGCGGCAGCGGCAGCGTCAGAAGTTACCAGCAAGTTCTGGCCGACATTTGTCCGCGTCAGGCCAAAAAGGCTGGGCCCCTGCTCGATGGCTGTTGCGTGTACCTCAGCGGCTTTCGGACGGAGGAGCGCGAGAAGCTCAATCGCATACTGAACACATGCGGTGCCACACGCTACGATGAGGCGAACGAGGGCATATCCCACATTATTGTCGGCCAACTGGACGACACCGAGTACCGGCAATGGCAGCGCGACGGCCTCGTGGCCACGGTGCATGTGGTGCGCCTGGAATGGCTGCTTGAGAGCATACGTAGTGGTCGTCTGGTCAACGAGTTGGCACATCGTGCCTCGCTGCCGCAGACACGGGAGCCGGATGTGGCCTCGCCCGCCAGCAAGCGAACGCTTCGCTCGATGAATCACAGCTTCAAGCAGCCCAAGCAGCTGCCCATCAAGAAGAAGCTGTTCGGTGGGGAGTCGGAAACGGAAATAGAACCAGAGCGACAGCAGGAGAAGCCCCAGGATGTGGATGTGGATGTGGAGCTGCTCAATCAGTATTCGCAGGACCAAGAGCCAGCAGCACAGCTGCCGCCAGCCCATGCGGATGTAAGCATGCTGCTCCATCCGGCAGCAAGCTCCACACAAATGGAGATACGTCCAAATCGGCCATCAGCGGCTGCAGCTGTGGCCCTGGCCCTGCCCGATCTCAGCGCCAGCACCTTGTCCATTGACTTTGATAAGCTGGACTACTTCACGGGCGTCTCCGTGTACGTGCACAAGGAGTCCTTCAACACGGAGTTCTACACACAAATGCTGAGCGAATGTGAGGCTGCCCACGGTCTGCTGGTGCCTGCGAGCTTCTCCGATGAGGTGGACTATGCCATCGTTAGCTTTGAGGTGCCCTTCGCTGCGGACAGTCTGCCGATACGAGCGCGTCATGTGGTCACCGAGCTGTTCCTCGAGAGCTGCATGAAGCAGAACAAGCTGCTGCCCGCCGAATACTATCACCTGCCCGTGCCGTTTGCTGCCAGTCGTGAGCCCCTGCAGGGCATGACCATTGTGGTGTCGCTCTATTCGGGCCTGGAGCGTGACTTTATCAATTCGGTGGCCACACTCATGGGCGCCTCGGTCAACAAGACGTTCATCAAGAAGGAGAAGCCACTGCTGGTGTGTCCCACGGCCGAGGGCTCCAAGTACGAGGGAGCCATCAAGTGGCACTATCCGGTGGTCACGGCCGCCTGGCTGGTACAGTGCGCCCAGAAGGGTGAGAAGCTGCCATTTGTCGGTCATTTAGTGGGCAAGAGCGCAGCCGATTTTCCCTCGATCTCGCCACGATTGAAGGAGAACAATTTGCGCACACCACGCCGTCAGGAGCGGGAGTCGGAGCAGCAGCAGCAGCAGCTGCTGTCAACAGTGGAAGAGGCTGAAAATCAGCCGGAGGTTGCACCCATTCCTGTTATCAACGCTCCAGCCGTGCAACCTGCAGTGCCTGCGCCAGAGCTAACACCGCTGCGGAATCGTCGCGTCTCCGAGCTGGCGGGTGGTCTGCGTCGCAACAGCAGCAGCAGCTCCTCGTCGCCCTCAGATTCGCCGCGCACCCCCACCAACCAGGCGTACAGTCAGGGCTACAATTTTGAGTTCTTGGAAGAGTTTGTGGAGCGTCTGGACACGGACGAGGGCAAGGACTGTGTGCGCCAGATCATACGCGAGATGCGAGAGAATCAAACGCCCGAACTGGAGCGCATACGCAGGCAGGCGTGCACGCCGGTGAGCCATCAACAGCCACGACCAGCGCCGGGCATACCCGAGTTTTGTCTGACGCCCGAATACAAGCGGCGCATGGCCGATGCTTTTGAGCGACGCTGGCGCCTGCCCACACAAAACATCCAGCCAGACACACCCATAGCGGTGATCAGGAAGCGGGTGATGCGCATAACCTGTGAGACGCTGGGCATTGCCTACGACGACATGGAGGAGGATCAGCAGCAACAGCAGCAGCAGCCAGCGGGCAGCAACAAAAATAAAAGGATGCAAAAGCTAGACTTTGAGAGTAAGTCCCCGAAGACACCCAAAGCCACACCGATGATGCCGAAAGCCACAGCCAAGATAGCCACACCACCGCGTGTGGCTGTGTCGCCGCTTAGTGGCTCCCCATCGGCATCAAATTTCGTGCCAAATACTCAGAGTCCTGTGGGTGTGGGTGTGGGTGCAGCGGCCGAGAGCACAATTAATTTTGATAAAATCAGCTTTGAGGAGACAACAACAGCGGCAGCAGCCGCCACAGCGGGACCAGACCCGCTCAATCTACTCAACTCGCCGGACGTCAAGCAGATCACCGACTATCTAAAGCAATGCGAGAGCCGCCGGAACAGCCTGAAGCGCACTCACGACAGTCAACTGGAGTGCGCCGAGAGCGAGGTTCAGTTTGTGCAACCATTCGAGTCCGAGGGCTTTGCCTTGGGCACCGACGACATGGTGGACTGGCGTGATCCGGGCGAATTCAATGCGGCCAAGCGGCGCTCCTCGGGCTCGCCACGAATGCAGCATGCGGGCACACCCTGCTTCAGCATCTCCTGCGGCGATGAAGAGAAGCGAGCCGAGCTAATGGACCGCATCAAGCAGTTGGGCGGAAAACTGTGCGAGAATCTCGTCAACTATGACGAGGCCTGCACGCACCTGCTCTGCGAGCGTCCCAACCGCGGCGAGAAAATGCTGGCCTGCATAGCTGCCGGCAAGTGGATCCTCAATATCCAGTATATCGAACAGTGCCACACTCGGGGCCACTTTCTCGACGAGGCCCAGTACGAGTGGGGCAATCCGCGTGCCCTGAATCTGCCCACTCTGGCCCCCGAAGAGTCTGTGATTGCAGTGGCCGCACATCGCTGGCGCACCGAACTGAGTGCCACTGGCGGTCGCAGCTACTCCGATCATCGTGTTATACTCAGCCTTCATGAGCGCAGTGGTGCGGCCATACGGAATGTTTTGCGTGCGGGCGGTGCTTGCATTTTGGAGCCGCGCTCTCCCTTTTCCGAGGATCCGCTGGCGGCCACAGCCACCGATTGTTTTGTGGACATCAAGAAGGCACCGCTGCCGGCCAAGGACTTGGCCCATTTGCGGCAGTGTGGCGTGCGCATCTTCACCCAATTGGCCATCAACTATTATCTGACGCACGGTCGGGAGGCCAATCTAGAGAAATATGTGGTCAATTAGAGCTGATGAAAATGAAAACTGAAAGCAGGCACTGATCGTAAGACTTAGCTTTAGGTATCTCTCGTTTTTTTTTTTAAATTGTTCTTCACATTTAAATGACCCAAAAGAAATGGAATAGCTGTGTACAGCTGCGAAGCATTTACCCACGAATCAATTGATTTGAATTCGATTAAAATGTATTCGAATGTAAATGAAAACTCCTTTGAAGTTATCCATTTTGAGGCATAATAATTATCTTTTTCCAAATTAACTTGTTATAAACTTACAAATAAAAACCGATTATTAAATTCATTTTATAAATCTTTATTGGATAGAAATTTGGAGCGCATAAAAGGCAGCAAGCCACACGATTGTTGAGTTTGTCAAGCAATTGCACCACAGCCGCCGCCACAGATTGTGGCTTGACTCCTCAGTGATCTGTCTGCTCGTGCAAGGCCTCAGGTTTTAGATATTCGTGCAGATAAAAACAAATCCTCATTGGCAATTAGCTTTAGCAACAATTGATTAAATATATAAAGTTTAGGGCACGGCAGACTGGATGCTCAGTCTTGGCAACAGACTGATTTTCATCATGAGACGCTTCTCGGTCCGCGCATCGTCAGACAGCATGCGCCCAGCTATGCAATATAAATTATTACATATCAAAATGAATTGTACTTTCCATTTATTTAACGTTTATATATATATTTGTATGTGTGTTTATTTATTTATGTATGTGTATGTGTATGTAATGTATCTTTATAATTTCACATAGCTTCATTCTGTTCCAATTTAATTGTAATATTATTTCATAGCATTTACTTTTCAATTTGATTTTTTTTTATTTGTTCTTATTTTTTTGATGTTCTGTTTTCTTTTGTTCTGTGTTCTGTGTTTTGTTAAAAAAAGTCTCTCTGTTTTGTTTTATTATCTACATGTTAATATATATAAATTTGTATGATTGTTGTTGGGGTATGGAATCGCATGCTCTAGGCTACAAATTCATCAAAAATAGATATATGTATGGAGTACACGTACGTAGGTATAGTTGATCGGTTTTCTCTCACTTTTCTAATTGTTTCATGTTTTTTGTTCTTTTTTCTTTTGTTTTTAAGCCGCTCTTACTTTTGTGTTTAAAATTACATTTCTTTATAATCGTATTTCAGTTTTTTTTTTCAAGGTGTTTTTTGTTTTTGTTTTTATATCGCAGCGATAATTTGTTTTGTTTTAGGAGGCAATTGTTTGTTTAACTTTAAACAACAACAAAAATGATTATACAAATTCAGAAGAATGTAAAAAACAACACAAAAATCATGGAATATAGGAGATATATGTATATAATAGCTATAACTACATATTATAATAATAATAATAATGGAACTTAAATCTTAACAATTAAAAAATCTCTTTGCTGGGCGTTGAGATTCCCAGTGGCTGTTCATAGTCGGCTGCCGACAAGGACGCTGATGCGGTTGCAGTTGTTGATTCTGATTCCTCCTGCTTTTCCATACGTCGAGATTTCTCCTTTTTATGCTTCTTCTTGTGCGTCTTGGACGCCACCAGCGTACTGGATTCATCCTCTACATCGATGATGCCGCCGCTGGCTGATGCTGCTGCCGCAGACTCCTTGGATTTCTCCTTGTTCCTCTTCTTTTTATGCTGCTTGTGATGCTCCGCGGATGTTGCATCTGGAAGGACAGTTGTTGAAGTGCTGAAGCTGTTGTTGGAGGCATTGTCGTTGGCATTGGCGGCGGCAGGAGCATGCCTGGGACTAGGCGTAGGTGTGTCGGCATCGATTAGATCAACGACCACAGGCTGAGTAGGCGTCTTGCGCTCTCGCTTGTGCTCCCTCGACTTGTCCTTGTCCTTTTTCTTCTCTTTTTTGGCGGTGCTGTTCGCAGCTGCTTCCGCTGGCACCTTGAGATTCTCTTTGCCCTCCTTGGACTTTTTGGACGTTGATCTGCTGCTGGCCGCAGGCGCCTCAAAGTCCGTTCTATGAAAGCAAAAAGATTTTAGTTGACTTCTCAAAGGGATTCAAAGGCTTCAATCAACACTCACATATCCAGTTCAATATCTAAAGCTCTGTGTGGATCATTGGGATCGTATTTGCCATCTTTATCTTCGCTATCCGACAGCGACACGCCCTCGGGCATGTCCAGTGTGGTGTTGACAATGTGCAAGGGTTTCGGTTCTAATGCAAAACAATTCAAATATCGCAAAATATATTATCAGATATTGGTCTTACCTCCTTCCGATTCGGAGCTGCTGTTGTAGGCCACTTTGTTCTTGGCCTTTTTGCTCTTTTTACTCTTTTTATGCTTCTTTTTGCCATCTTTGCCATCACCGCCGCCCTGCAAAGCCGCCGCTGCCTGTTGATCCTGCAGATACTTATCCGAACGTTTGGTAACTAAGCAAACAAAAGAGAAAGAAAAAAGAGTAAGAATGGGAACTCAGCCAAAGGTTTATGCACTTACCGCCCACACGTAATGCTGCCACCCCATCCATATCCAAGGGCAGCTCCGTTATGGGTATATCATCAATATTGTCATACTGATCCGCATTCGATGCACCGCCACCCGAGGCGGAGGCGCTGGCATTCGTTGATTTCAGGTAATGCGGATTATTCGACTGCTCGATTAAGCGGGCCAGGCGCTGTCTCTCCATTTGTTCGGGCGTCAGCTCGAGGCTTTTGCGTCGCTTGCCCGCACCAGCATGGCCGGCATCGTGGCCCGCTTCTGTTCCAGCTGCCGCTTGGGCGGCGCTCACAAACAGCTCTTCTTTGTCATGCTCGGAGGAGGAGCTGCTCGGATTATCCTCCGGCGGTGGGGCATTGATCCATTCATCCAAATCCAAGCCATCTGGCAGCGGCACCTTTCGCTGTGCCTTCGGCGCCACCGGTATCAGTTCGCCAGCAAAAAGCAGCGTCATCTCCTGCACAATCTCAATGGCCAGAGTCGGTATGCCGCTCTCGGTTGTCTCCATGGCCATGGATGATTCATCCGTCAGTGTCGCTGTCTCTGTGGCTGTCGCTGTTAGCTGGCTGCGCAGCATTTCGATTAGCATGCAGGCGGAGCTGGCTCGCTCTTGAACCTCAATGTCGCTGGAGCCGTTGAAGTGCTGCAGCTTGTCCAAGACATGATCGCAGAGCTAGAAATAATTCGTGCGATTATATGGCACTTCGGCGAAGCATATTTAAGCCGTGGGCACTTACCCGAACAATGCCTGGCAGATCCTGCAGCTCCAGGCAAGAGGTGGCCAGGCGGGCAAACAACTTAATCACATTCTGCACATAGACTCCCTGTATGTGGCCGGGCAGCTGTCGCGGACGCAGCAGTATATTCAACGTCTTCTCGGCATCCTCCAGTTCGCCGGCAAACTCGCCAACGATCCAGGCGGCCGCATAGAGCACCTCGTACATGGAATTGCTCTGTGCCGACACTGTGAAAGTGTCCAGCAAATTGGTCATTTCATTCACAGCAAATTGACGGACAACCGGCACACGTATGGCCACATCCAGCAGCTGTTCGGCAATCAAACGGCCATGCCGCGAGCCCGCCTCCAGCTGGATCAGCTCAACGAGCACCGTCAGATACCATTCGAAGTTCGTCACATACAAATAGGAACTCTGGCCACAGATCTCGATCACCTTGTAGAGCAGCTCATCGCGATAGGCAGAGCCTTCGGCGCGCTCCATGTGACCGAGCAGACGCTTCACAATCTCCATGAGATTCTTCTTGGAGACCATGCCATACAGCAGATCCAAGGCACGCAGACGTATGGACTCATCCTTGTCGTCCAGGCAGGCCAAAATCAGATCCTTGTGCGCCTGCACGCTCTTTGGATGCGTCTTCAGGATCTTGGACATGGCCAACAGCCCCAGATATTTCACTACAAAAAGGTAAACGGCGTGGGTTGAAATGATTTTCTAGATTTAAGGAACAAGTTACTTACAATTCTGATCGGAATCCTCGATGAGTATGCGCAGCTTTTGCACACAAAGCTGAATGGAGGCACTGTGGTTGGGCATGCCGCTGCTGATGCTAATGAGTACCGCGATCACCGTGTTGATGCATTCATACAACAGACTCATGGCCGAGGTGCTGTTGATTCGATTTTTGTTTGTTTTTGTTTTGGTTTTTTCGGGTTGGTTTTGTGTTTTTTTTTTTTTTTTGATTAATTTCGTTTGGATTTGATTGGGTAAGTTGGTTTTCATTTGTTTTGGTGAAAAAAAGAATTTTGTATTAAAGAGTAAGCAGCGTAGAAAGCGTTTTATAATATTTTGCACATCTACAACGACAATAGCAACAATGGCAATAGCGATAGCGATAGCAAAACAACGACCATTAATATCTACAGATCAAATATGTGTGGGCACATTTGTACGTATAATATTTGAAGCAGCAGCAAATGCAACAACATAAAAAAAAAAACACAGAAAAAACAGAGAGCAGCGGCAGCATTAGCAAATAGAAGCAACAATTTTGCTTCTGCTTTAATACACACACACACACACACACACATACATCTTTCTGGGGGGTTTTTTATTGTTGGGGTTTCTCGAATGGAAAGTGGAAAGTGCTCGGAGACAATCAAACAAAAGGAATTAAAACACAATATAGAGCGGGATGGTTATAGGTGTTGGTTTAAAAGTTCAATATACGAGTTATATGTACACACATTGTATATATGGGGGTAAGACGGACATAAGAAGCCAGGATCAAGTAAGTAATCAATCAATCAGTCATCCATAGAAGAGACTGACTGACTGACTGAGCAGCGTTCGTTTATCGTTTTTTTTTTTTGTTGCATTCGCTTTTCCATAATTGATTATATTTTGTAATTTGTTTTGTTCTTTACTGCATTGTTTGGTTTGGTTTTTTTTGTAATGAATTAAGAGACTTGCCTATGAATTAGATTTGTGAGTGGTTCTATTAATTTCTTTCCTAGCCGGGGTTCTAAGGGAGTTAAAGCGCCAAACTGCAAATGCAAAGAGAAAAAAGAAACAAGCAACAAATTATAATTTTACATACAATCAAAAAACACAGTACGGATTATATACCTTATCTTCACAACTAAAACTAGAACTAAAATGTAAAATGGAATAACTAAACCCTAAAAAAAGCCTATAAACAATAAAGAAATAACAAAACCTGTCTCAAACAAAACATAAACCTGACTTAAAAAATATTTGTATGGACTTTTCTCTTAATTAAATGTTTCACATTTCGTATGCCCTTTCCCGTTC